GGCGGTGCCAGTGGTAGCAGGTCCGGTGCTGGTAGGCTCAGCCGTGCCAGTAGTGGTAGCAGGGCCCGAAGAAGTAGGCTCGGTGGCAGTGCCGGTGGAAGAGGTGGCGGGGCCGGTGCTGCTGCCAGTGCCGGTGCTAGGGCCGGTGGGCACGCCGGTGCTGGGGCCGGTCGGGGTGGCAGAGCTAGAGGGGCCGACGCTGGAAGACGGGTTGGGGCCAACCGTGCAGGGCTCAGTCGAGGCGAGGTCCTTGGCGAAGTAGACGTTGATGCGGCCGCTGCCGCCGCAGGTCTTGGAGCTGTCGCCGTTGCAGGGCTTGTTGCACTCCGAGTCGGCGGCCTTGGTGGCGTACGGGTTGAGGTTGGAGTCGCACCAGCACTCGCCACCGTACTCAACACCGGCGTAGGCGTAGCCTTCGGTCTTGCAGGCGGAGATACACTTGTCGGGGGTCAGAGCGGAAACGGTGAAAGGGTGGCCGAGAGTGCGGCCGTGGCTGCCGTTATCGGTGTAGCAGCCCTGAGATTGGTAGTCGGCGGTGGTAACCTCCTCGGGGCCCTTGCCGAAGGTGGGATCCTCCCAGACGGAGAAGGCGTTCTGGCCACCACAAGACTCGGAAGAATCACCGCTGCACTTGTAGTTGCACTGGCTGACGTGGACCTGCTGTCCACCCTCGACGTTACCACAGTAGCAGACACCGTAGTAGGTGAGAGCAGCATAACGGTAAGAGTTACCTAGATTGTTGTTAGCATTGTTATGGTCATGTCGATGTTGTCCCGTCACGTACCCTTGCAAACAGCAGTACACTTGGCAACAGTCATGGAGCTCTGATCAGCATTGGAGCGGAAGTCGAAGGGGTTGCTGCCATCCTTGGAGGCAACGCAGCCAGCGCACTGGAAAGGCGTGAACGGTTTGGGGCAGGCGGGCTGCTCGGTGTAAGAAGCCTGGGAGACTCCGAGCAGCGCGGCAAGCGCAACCGCAAGAATGCTGCGGGCGGGAGCCATGGCAGACAATCTAGGTTAGTAGCACGGGAGAATAGAAACGAATGTATAAGCCCTGGTGAACGTGAATGAAAGAATAACGACTGAGTGCTGCAGACGCTGGGCTCTTCCTCTAACCGTCAATGCAGAAGTTGATGAGATGCAGATTGTGATGAGACGGAAGGCCAATTGGTTTATATGGTTGGCCGTTGAGCCACAAACAGGCAAAAGCCAAGGCCATCGCCACCGAGACGGGGCCGCGTCCAAGCATGATCCAGGAAACGGTGAGGTTACCCGAGCTGGCTATTTCGCTAACAAGGTGGACTGAAGCATGAGCTCGGGCGTTCGTTTTAGGATACTAGAGCAGGTGTGCGCTAGACACATTGTCTGTTCTCCAGGAAACAAGCTCATAAAGTTAACTGGCGCATTGACAATGGCATTATGTTGGTGTTATTCCACTCCGCTTCCTTCTCGGGCCTCCATCACGCTGCAGCCATGCATGAAAGCCGGCGACGTATTGTAATGATCAACTCTTGGAAGTCCTGGCAGACCATCTTTTACGATATGCCTGAGATGATCGGGCAATGGCCACAATGGGAGCGAGTTACTGACGCAGGACGTGTTGTCGGCCACAAGACGGGGCTGGTGTGTTGTGCGAGATCTTCGATGAGCATATTTTCAGGTTCGCATACAGCAGATAAAATTGCAGTAGCGGTTTCCGCCTAAGTACCATGCCCAAAGAGGTTAATCAAGGGGCAGGATATTCCTTGTTGTGAGCGGGCAGCCCACGGCCGTGCCCCAGGCCAAGCTGCGCATCATCCGAGCAATGTAGGTCAAAGCCAGTTGGGAACGGTCTTTGGTGTGGCACACTCTATGCTGATTCAGGCCTAGAGGCAACCCAAAAATAAACGCAGCCCGTGAATCAACATGCAGGCTTGCCCAGTTTTGTGAGCCCTGGCAGGCTGAGGGGGGGTGCGTCTGATGCCACAGGCCGCCGGGAGGCTCTCCAATGCCGCGCGCGCCGAGTCCACGGCACCAAAACATTGCCATGATTGGGCCGGACGGCAGTGGACAGGCCGCTCACACAGGTAATAGTATACCTGCTGCCCATGGTTCTTTTGTCGGTGGGGTCATCGTTCTGGCACTGAAACAAATCGACATTCGGTATGATGCCGCTCTGCATGAATCGGGGCGCGGAAATCAGCAAAAGCTTGCAAGCTGAGAGGAGTTATGTCGATGGGCCGACAATGGCGGGCTATCGCATAGGAGCAAATTGGTGGCCGCATAAATAATAAGTCTAGTTTTGGCGCCAAGAATGAATACATATGAGGAGAAGATGGCTAGATTGGCAATTACTGCTCATGGTGATGGCTTGATGGCCACGGGGATGGATGTAGGATGTAGGGCGTTTGTACGGATAAATCACAACCCGGCAGCGTTACTGTTCCAGCCTGAGCTGTCCGTCTTACTAATAAAGTCTATAGCCGAGAATTTAGAGCCAAGCCAGGCAGCCTGTTTCTCGCAACTCACTCAACCACCAGCGAAATTTTCTTCTTACTTTTTTCGGGCCTATCGACATCGAATATGAACCTTCTTAGAGGATTCCATGCATAATCCCGATGTGCGCTGCCCCGTCATGGCTTCTATTAGCACCGACCGCATGAACCACCGCTCGGTAACGACTCCACCCCTAGTTACTATATTCTTGGTAAAAGGCCAACTCGACGAACAATGACCCAATCGCGGCGCCCCAAAACTAGTGAGAAGAGCTAAATAAAGTTTTGTGTCAGGGGGGAATGCAGGGGCCCTGTCCATCTGGGCAGCCCCCCCCCCGGGCGTGCGCGAACCGGGTCTGCGCAGCAGAAGCCCTCGCCGGCGGCCACCACCAAGGCGCGCCAAAGGTCTTGGGCCCTCAAATAAAAGACCGGAAACAGGCATCCCTGTTGCCTCTCCACCCGCCGGCCATAAACAAGAAAGAAAGTTCTTTCCGCTCACATGTGTCGCCGTCTACACCTGCAGACGAAGAAAAAGTGCGACAAAGATCAAGCCCAGCTTGCATGCGCTCCGCCTCAGGTGAGAGGGTCTGTGAGGGCTATGGCAAGATGTCAACAGATCGCCCGGCGTCGCCGCTGTCAGCCTCAGCTTCCAACGCAGCTTTTTCCTCCCCGCCGTCGGTCGTGGACCAGCGGCCGCTCGCATCACCGTTGGTCCGGCCGAACGTCAAGGTGAACCTGACTGACCGACAGGACCGTGTTTGATTTGACGCGCTCCGCTTCCAGATCGTGGGCCTCGTCGCCGGTGAAGCAATCCCCGACCACGCGCTCTGAGCTCTCATCAGTCGTAGCGGCGCCATGCCGAGACGTTCCGAAGGGGCATGGCACGAGAAGCTGGCCATGACGCACTCGCCGCCTGCCCTGCCCATTGGGCACGTCATTGCGCTGACCCGCCAGGAGCACTTCTCGCGGGCCGAGCGGAAGACACTGCTCCCGACGGTTCTGCTTCTGACGGCGCTCAGCACCATGCAGGACCTCGTATATTTGCATTCAGCTTTGCCATCAGTACCCGTTCTGGGAAGGGCTTCGGTCTTCGGCGACGTGCCGCGGTAACTAGCATGCTCAAATCGGATTACATCGACGCCGTCATTGTATTTTGGGCTGCAGCTGCTAAGTTGGCTGAAACACATTACTATGCCGACTTTGGGCATAAGTATGTCGCTCTCCTCCTAGGTTCTTGGATATTTCTGTTTGGCTCTTCCGCAGAGGGCTATCGTCCATCCCGACCGCCCTTCACTTCTCCGTTGGTCTGTGACAACAGGCCGGCAACCGAGTGAAGGCGCAGCTACGTCCCCCGAGAAACGTGAGGTGCCTTTGCTTGGTGGAATTGGAGAGATGAAATGGAAAATTTGACGTTTTTCGCGTGTCCGGAGCGTCGGCCCGCGTGGATCCAGAGGTCATGCTGAGGCTGCAACATCCCTTCCGCTCTGTATGCGCATTAGTCTAACTGCCAACGCACGTCGGGCGGTGGCGTTTGAGCAGTTCCTGTTCGTATTTGAAGATGGCGTAGTTGAAGCTGGCAGTCGATGGCAGAGAGTGTCAGCAATGCTCTGTACAAGCGCAAGTAGAGGTGCCACTACACAGCCTTGATTTTCGTTTTTTTTCATGTTGGCGCTACATCACCAGCTGGCCACGCATACCACGATCTAGCTACCCAATCGATATATACTATGTGTATTATTAGGTTGGCCGCGCCGCGAAGGTATCTGGGAAACTGTATCTGGGAAGCTGTGCTTCTGACGGCCAGGTCTGAGATGCTGATTGGCTGGAGGCAAACGCTACATCGCACTCTGCTTCCCACGATCGTGCATGCTGCTGCAGCTGCAAGACCGGCATTTATCTGCAACAGCCATCGCATTAATAGCTAGGTACCGGGGTCAATATCCGGCGGCTGAGCTAAATGTACGTTTGAATTGACCGCTGACATCAAGTAAGTCTCGTTTTATCGCGATGATGGTATAGGGTAGCGTAGCTTGTCACAGCTGGTGTACATCAGAAAGGAACAGACGCGGTTTCCCCCAGAAAAAGCACAACGGCAGAATTTCATGACGTCTGAAACATTTTTTTATGTTCCTTGGTGAATTACACAGAAGCCCAAATTAAATCCAAGCATTTTTTGGACTTTTGTTTGATGTTCAGGCGGTGTATTGAAGCCACTCGGCGATGACCAACACGGAGCTGCGCCACAGGCAATATTTTGCAGCCACACTTCCTGGCGACTTCGCTCCAAGCACGCACCAACTTGCTTCATCGACAACGTGTGCCATCGTCCTCCAGCCGGCCCGATCGCCATTCTATCCATCGCATCCCACACGACTCAATCGAGCTCACGATGCGATTCGCTGCGCTCTTCGGGGCAATCTGCGCGGCCACGCTGGCCGCGGCCGCGCCACGCACCGCGCACATCTACGTCCAGCCCGTACAGGGCGGCAGCAAACCGAGCCCCCTCGCCGAAGTCGCCTACGACGTGGTCACGCCGGCCACCGCCGAGGTGCTCACCTACGAGGCGCCGGACCTGCCAGACGGCACGTCGACGGTGCGCATCGGCGTCTACGACGTGACGACCAAGACGTGGTCGTCGGGCACGACGGTGGCCTCGGTCGCCAACTTTGACAAGGGCTTCGCGCCCAACTTTCTGGTGTCTGTGGACGCGCACGGCGCCGTGGTCAGCGCGACGCTCAAGGGCGTCCAGATTGACGCCGGCCACACGCGCGACTTTGGCCCGCAGGTCGTGCTACTCCCGGAGACGCGGGGCACGCAGCCAGCGCTCAACAAGCCCGTGGTGCTCAACCCCGAGGGCAAGCGCGAGGAGCCGCAGGAAAAGACGCTGCTGCAAAAGTATGTGCTTGCCGTGATCAAGTACTCTGGACGAAGCTATGCTAACGTGGACACGCAGGTACTGGTGGGTGGGTATGATTGTCTTATTTATCGCTGTGAGCGGCGGCGGCGCAGAGAAATAGACGGCTACATCGAATCGGTATACATAATACATGAAGCATTGCTTTTCGGCGTTGGATTTGTCTGTGCACCAGATATTTGGTGCAGGTTACGCTATGAACGTGGTTTGAAGGGCCTTCGGTATGACCTATCCTTGTGGAAGTGTAACAATCTCGGTTCCGCACAAGATCCTCCTCTGCTTCGGCTGTCTCCAGATCCAATTCACCTAGCCATTGTAGTTACAATTAACCCAACGGCATCGAATCCATCAGATAGTAACAGCAAGGGCAGCCCGTCACGTGCAGCTCCAGCAGCTCTTATCTCAGTCGGGACTAGCGGCGTTGCTACGCAGACCAAACAGATGTTGAACAGTGCTTTTTCCTAGGCACTTAAAATCCCAGGCGCCTATTAGTCCATTCTCGCGTTTGCTCCCCCCAACTCTCTATTTTGCTCCAATTTGCCCGCCAGGTTCTCTTTTCCTCCTAACGAAATCACCTCTCTTTTTCGCACAACACCAACTGCACACTCACCATGTCGGACGGCGTCACCAACCCCCGCGATACCGCCACCGGAGCCTTCGCCGAGGAGAAGGGCAAGGGCAAGACCGCGCAGCGCGTGCACGACAACGCCCCAACGGACGAGGATGACGATGATGAAGATGACGACGACGATGATGATGATGAAGACTTTGAAGGCGAGGTGACTACATTCTCTTCGTACTAAACTGAGAAAATTTTGTACTAACTCGCGACAGAACGAGAACGACGGAGGTACGACTTGAACGCGCCACACGTTGCGACGAGCGATGGCGAGATGACCAATACTAACTCCTAGCTTGCTATAGAAGACATTGAGGACGGCGCCGAAGAGGTCGACCTTGACAACATTGTTGAGGGCGGCCGTCGAACCCGTGGCGCCAAGATTGACTTTGCTAAAGCTGCCGCCGAGAACCCCGCCGACGACGAGGACGACGAGGATGACGAGGACTTTCAGCCCCCGGCTCAGGACACGGAGATGTCTGGTTAAAATGTGTTGTTGACTCTGTTCCGATTGTAGAGTGAGCAAGGGGACTTGCAAAGACGAAGAAAAGTACCAAGTAGCGACGAGTTCATGGTGGCGGTGTGCCCGTCACCTTTAGAGAGGCATGACTTTTTTGCATTATACACGGTGCACCAGGAAACATTACAGTTAAAACCAAAAACAAATCATTTGATGAAGGACGTTGGCATAGCTATTATTCAGTCAAATTAGCACGCGCAATACATTATACTACCATGCAAACTAGAGTGTCGCGCGCGCCAGCAATGTGAGCAGGATGTGAGTAACTGGGGCGTAGCTGCTTCATACCGAGCAACTGGACATGACTACTCCATTCCCACCCACCAATAACCCTACGCTATTGATTCTGCATTACTCTCAATTCACCATCGATTGCCAAGAGAACCTGCTTAAACTACCAAGGGCGCAAACCGTGACTACCTAGTTACTACGCAGCGATGGCAAACTCTTCAGACGAGGACGAGTATACTCGGCACGCGCCATGGACTAATCAGTTACGATACAACATTAACATGAAGGACAACGACTATCGCCTGTTCCAGGTGCTGTCACTTGGCAACCAGCTCCGCCCGGCGACCTGGGGAATCACGATTGTTCGCATCGACTACAAAGCACCTCGGCAGCAACTGCTCAATGCGCTGGCGTGTATCAACGACGCCGTGCAGGCAGACTTGGGGGCCAAGCAGCCATATGCATATCGAAGAGATTACGTGCGTCTCGATGATTTAGCACCAACCAAAATGTGGCCGTCGTTGCGGAAAACCCGGCGCACCGTCCAGCCTGGAGACGAGCTGTTTGCACGATACAGTATGGAGGTTCTAAGTACGTACGACGGTCTGAACGAGGCCAGCGTCGACACCATGCGGAGCAGATTCCAGAGCTGGATCATGCAGATGCAAGGCAACCCGCACGGCGGCGACATGCGCTACGTTTTCTGCCTCATCCTGGACGCCGACACGATACAGACGCTCGACGACATTTGGTGCCGGCGCTCTAGGGTACGGAGAGCCGCCGCACAACTGCAAACGCAGGTCCGAGTGCTGGACGCGATGCCGGGCGGCGCGTGCGGCGGCGCGTACAAGGTCTACCTGCGAGGCGCGCATGGGCTGGTCAATTTCTGGTTCGCGCGCAACTTGCGCCGGCAGCCGCTGGAGGTTATGCTGACGAGGCCGCGGAGCGGTGACGATGACGCCATGTGGTATTTTGGGCCCGAGCCACAACCTGTAGAGGATGGGGCCAACAGCCTTGTAAAGACGACGATGGAGCTAGCGGAGGACGTTTGAAGAGGGGTGGTGGTGTGTAGCTGAGCTCGGCTCTTACATGGCTCCGATGTCGAACTCTCGTGATGGTTCTTGTAGATGGCTTTGGGGAGAAAATCATTCTGTAGCTACAGTGATGTGGTGCATGACCTAATGATCAACATGCACTTGTACTAACTTCACAACATGATTGGTACCTACAAAAAATTAATGACATTTGCTGATCCAAATCAAAGGGCCATCTGTTCACATCAACGAAATCGCCACACAGCCAATGAAACGGGGGCGAGGGGTTGGAGATGCCACCTGTTTGTTCGCTGGTTTTAGGCGGCTGATGCCGCACTTTAGTGACATGCACCACCCGCCCAGGGATCCATTAAAGGGGAGGGGGGCGGTAGCGATACGCCGCCGATTAATTTTTTTATGATTCTTGTTCATTGCTGTCCTTTTCCCTCCCTCGACAACCTTTCTCCCAGGTATTTTCAGAAACATTGGCGTTTTATTTTTCCTGCCATACACTCGCCACACTTGGCCGACAACATGGCGCAAAGGTACGAACTGGTTCACCGCACGAACTCCCGGGGTTTGGTCACCGTTTAAAATACGGAAATCCCAACTGCGTCATGACCTCATGCGCAGAACCCGACGCGACCTTTTGCCGACGCAGAAAACGCAGCCGAAGCCCCTTCCAACGAAAGAACAACGCAGAACTAACCCGCGCAATAACTACAGCAGGTTCGGCGGCCTCCACCAGCGCGACTCCCGCAGCGCCCTCTTCGAAGGCTACTCGGGCGGCGGCGACGCGAGCCGACGCGGCGGCAGCCCCGCGGGCGGCTACGGCTACAACAACAACAACAATAGCGGCAGCAGCAACACCGGCAGCCCCTCGCCGTACAACAGCTACAGCGCCTACGGCAACCCGAACCTCGGCGGCGGGCCGCCGGCCGGCTACCGGTCGGCGACGCCCAACCAAAAGGGCCAGTACAGCGACGCGGTGCTCAACGAGCTCGAGAGCCAAAATGACGACCAGGTGGCGGGGATCCTGGGCAAGGTGCGGGTACTAAAGGATGTACGTTTTTTTTTTTTTTTGGCGAATCGAGGCGGGCGGCTAACGAGGGAATTTTGTCAAAAAAACAAACAGATGACGGTGGCCATTGGCGACGAGATTCGCGATTCGTCGGCGCTGGCGGAAAAGATGAACAACACGTTTGACCAGACCCGTCTGCGCCTGCGCGGCACCATGAACAGGATGCTGCTCATGGCCCAGCGCTCAGGCATCCCGTGGAAGGTCTGGCTGCTCTTCTTCCTCGCCGTCGTTCTGGTCTTTACCTATGTCTGGCTGTTCTAGAACGTATGAGGCGCGCGGAGGAAAGCCAAAAATGTTAACAGAGGGGGGCTTGAGAAACACTTTTTTTTTTTGCATCATGTTCTTGTACGGCGTTCTGGGACTTTTTCCTCTTTTGACATTGCATTTGAGTATAATTATACGCCACTGGGAAGGAGCCCTGCCTTTTTTTTTGACGGATTACATGTATTGTACACTATGAATGAGAACGAACCCATTCACACACACACGGCGCCGAAGAAGGCATGATGCATCTGACATGGGGTAAAACTAATATCTATTGTATAACGCTACTACTGTCCTCGTTGGGACGGGTATCATTCAGTGCAATGCCAGACACACAAGGTCCGGCGTCTCAGCCGCGCATGTTCCGTCGTACTTGCGCTGGGCTGCTATCCATGAAGCTGCTCTCGTCCTGGGACAAGAAGGCGCTCAAGTCCATGCTCGACCGGGGCCCTCCGGCGGCCGTCACAGACCGTCGGTGCGCGCGCAGCGTGGGGCTCTGCGGCGGGCCGAGCGGTGCCGTGCGCGGCGCAAACCCGACATGACCGTCGTCCGAGCTCGGGGGGTGGTGGTTGTCGTCGCTGGACAGGGCGGCGTCCGAGTCGGTGTGCTCGTAGCCCGCATCGTACGCGTCCTCGGGGATGTCGTCGTCGAGGTTGGCGTCCATGCCCAGGTCGACGTCGCCGGCGGCGCCGTCGTCGAGCAGGGAGCTCGGCGCGAAATCCTCCTCGTCGAGCATCTGACCCTGGTCCTGCGCGTCGAGCTCCTCCGCCCCGCCGCCGTACATGTCGTCGCCGTCGGGGTCGCCGCGGACGAGCGCCTCGCGGAAGGCGTCGTCGGACATGCGCATGCGCGCCGCCATGAGGTCGTTGCGGCGCTCCTCCCGCAGCGCTTCCTCGGCCGCGCTCACGTCCGCCTCTTCCTCCTCCTCCTCGTCGCCCTCCTCCTCCTCTTCGCTGTCGCTTCCCCCGCCGAGCGCGAAGTCATCATCCGCGTCCGGGATCTCGTCGTCCAGGTCCTGCGCGCCGTCGAGCTGCACGTCGTCCATGGCGTCGTCCTCGTCGCCCTCAGCCGCCGCTTCGGCCTCGGCCTCGGCGAGCTCCTGCGCGACCTGCTCCCGCCGCATCGCCTCCTGGTGCTCCTCCTGCTCGCGCTTCTCCTCGCGCATCTGGTGCAGCGTCTTGGGGAGCCCTGGCGGCTTCAGCCACGTGCTGCCAAAGTTTTGCACGCTGGTGCGGCGTCGCTGCATGTGCGCCTCGTCGGCGGCGAGACGCGCCAGCGCCGTGCGCTCGAGAATGTGGCCGCGATGGCGCTGCGCGTGGGGGCCCTGATGGTGGTGGTGGTTGTTATGCGTGCCGTCGCCGCTTCTAGGGCCGTCGGGCAGGCCTCCGAGGATGGGGGCGCGTGTGGACGTGTACCATAGTGAGTGCGACTGGTGCGCGTTAGTAGATGTGAATGGGAGAGAGATGGGATTGTGGACGCACATCTCGCGGAGTAAAGTCTGGTAGTATTGCAAACATGATGAATTGATGCTATGGAGATGCTGTTTGCAGCTTGCTTGATAGAGGGGAAAGCTTGGGGCGTCGAAAGTAAACAAGCGTTTTGGCAGTGCGGGGCAAGTGAAGCAGCTTCCACGCTTTCAGCGTCGACCATTCACAACTACCAATAATGTTTTTTTTGTTCTACTTGAAAATGAAAACCTAGTGGAACGAAAGTTCATAAGCTTAAAAAATTATAGACCGTTGAGCTGGAAGCCGCTCGGTAATTATTTAGTAGGTTGGACCATCGCTAGTGCTGGATTAGACAATGTTCCATCTCAGACAACGTACATTTCCTGCTTGAAATATATATAGCAAATTCGCGAAATTCGTTAAAATCGTTTAAATTATACTATATTGTGATATCGTGGTTATATTATTTATTTGATATTCTCAACCGTCTCGACCATTGCTCTGGAGCTGGTGGCTTTTTCGAGCTGCGGAGACGCTGTGTCTTGGTCTTGGGTTGCGATGTTATCGAGGTTCTAAAGTCAATGTTTAGTCAGTGGTGTCTAGCAGACATATACTCGAGTGCGAACTCACAGGTCCAAGAAATGTGTTGCGGCACTGTAGCCAGAGCAGTGACACTATGACTGCGTATATGCCAAGCACCACACACACGTAATCTGCCGCATTTGTTAGTTCCGCGAATATTGTAGCTGCCAGTAAACGTACTCATGTTATTACTCGTGACTGGGAGTGACGTAGGGAAACAGAAAAACTAGTTCAATTAGCTAGATCCTTTGCTTGACAGATGTATCGAATATCCTTACTATTGACGTGACAATGAGGAACAGCACGGAGACAGCATTCACGACTATGCCGAGCGTTGGCTGTAATAGAAACACCTTCATCGGCTGGGATACCTGTAACAATCGTCGACCCCGGATCAAGACAATTATGGTCGGCGCCGCATAGGATAAGTTGAGTAGGATGACGAGAGACGCCACGTAGGCACTAAACGCAACGGTCGGACCCAGGTACAACAGCCCAAAGCAGACATTAAAGCCGTAGCAGAAGACGATGGCACGAACGGGAACATTGAGGCGCGGCGTAATGTGCGCGAAGAAGTCGTGGAAAATGATGCCGCGGTCGCGCGCCATGGCAAACAGCAGCCGGCTGACGCTGGTGATGCTTGCGCTGGAGCCGTTGATGAAACAGACACTAAACATCAGGCTGATGATGGTAGCGGCTGCCCGGCTTTGCGTGTCGCGGAGAACCATGGCCACGATGGGCATGTTGCTGGGAGACGTGAGTATGCTCTCGGGGTCTGTCAAGCAGAACAGAATGACGAGAGTAAACAAGAGGCCTCTATTTTCAATTAGTACATGAAAGAACACATTTGGCACCGAGAATGTTGACTTACGTCACGCCGCCCACGGCAATGGTGTACAGCAAGGCGCGCGGTGCGTCGCGTCTCGGATTCGGCATCTCCTCCGTCATGTGCAGGACCACGTCAAACGCGGTGAGGGAGAGCGCTGACTGCAGAAGACCGAGGAGCCAAGCCACACCATCTGGCCACTTGGTTTCGTTTTGAAAGTCGGTGAAGACGTATTCGGCGTCAGTTTTGGCAGACTTGGCCAGCAGAACCACGCTGAGAACCACGACACCGAGGACGGACCAGTACACTACATGGTCAGCGGAGTTTCACCATGTGTCGGCAAACGCTTACAAGCACCGGTATTCCACCTTCCTAGTATATTGTTGCCCCAGATATTAATGGCGGTCGTGGCTGTCAGGACGGCCAGGAAGGTGCCATATGTGCGTGCGGGTGTTATTTGGTACGAGTCGTTGGAGGCGACAACGATAGCCGCAGAAATGAATTGTGCTATTGGAATCAGCAACGCGCACATCAAAGTGAAGACGGAAAACTTGCCAGCAAAATACCCTTGCACAGTGACGACGATGAGCCAGCCGGCAATGTTTGTCCACCCGACAAAGAAGCTCTACAAACTAGGCGTTAGCTGTCGAACTGACCGAGGGCATCGTGTTCTGCGTACCACTGGCTTGCGCCATTTCTCGGTGCACAATGCGAATACGTAATGATACTGACCGCCGGCCGTGGGCCAGATGGCGGCCAGCTCGCCCAGACTGGCGACGACACAGAAGCTGCAGGCGACGCAGAAGAGGAAGCCGTAGAGAAAGGCGACGGAGCCACCGGACGGTAGGATAAGCCCAATGGAGCCGGCGAGAGCAATCCACGTGCTAAGGAGTCCATGTAAGCCAGGAATGGCAACCAGAAAGCAGCAAAAAGCGCCTACTTTAAAATGGCAAATGCCATGGCGAGCGTCGACAGAGTCGACAGCCGCTGCTGCAAGGATCCATGGCGTGCGTCTGTCGAGTGCGCGACCTGGGCCATGCTATCCCTGACGAGGCAAGTAGATAAGAAAAATGGAGGAATAAAGATGCTTAGGCCGATAAAAAAAGTGAGCGGCAGCAGCAAGAGGCAGCGTGCTGGTTTGTTACGAGAAAAGGAGAGCCGTCATTTATGAAGTACGGCTGTCTGCCCGTGACATTGTGGCGCGTCAGCCGCGGACAGGGCCCCTTCTAGAGACTAATGGCCATTTGGCAGCGGAAAACGTGACCTGCAAGTCGCAGTTGCGCCGTCGCACTAGTTACATGATGTACTGAAGACGGAAGAGGGCGGTTGTACAGAATCGGCTGGTCCGACCATGGCAGAGATCACCGGCGCGCCCTCCAAGATGGTGTGTGGCAACGTGGCTCGAGGCTAACTAGCAGGTATGCGATTGCCATACGTACACATCTTGACCGATGTAGCCACCAGCGATTACCTGGGGAAGTTCAATAGCAACACCGTTTTTCATAATTTAACGTAACACTAGCAGAGATCGCCCGAGGCTTCTAAACTGGAGACGCTCCAGCCTGCAGCCTGGTCGGTCCTTTAGATCGGGAGCGGGGGAAGGACAAGGGATCCCCGCTTCCCCTCGTCATGCAGCAAGGATAGTTTAAAAAGATGCTTAGACGGCGAGAAAAAAATGGCCGCCAATGGCCCAAGAAGGGCTCTTTTTTGAGAAAAGACATGATGCCGGTCTTGCTCCGCCCGGGGTCTCGGTGGAGGGGCCGCCCGGCATTTTCATTTGGCACCTCGTCTGCGCCCAATCTCGAAAAATTGCCCCATTGGGCGAGGCCAAGAACAGCGGCATCCGAGTGCGGAACAGACATGAGAAACCGGAACAAATGATGAAATCATACCGATCCCGCTGATTTCGTGTGCGTTTCGGGGCGGCGGCGTGGGGGGCTCGACAGGTCGCTGTATGGTCCTCGCTGGGTGTTAACCTATATAGAGGTAGCTATGCATCTAGCTGTCGTCATTGACCACTTTTTCGTCTCACACTGTTGCCATTTCTTCTCTCCTCCTTTTCCTCCTTTTCTTTCTCTTGCGCCTGCCAAAGTCATGGCATCGAGAGACGGCTACTCGTGGACAAAGGCCGACGGCCTGCGCCCCGGCGTGCCCTGCATCGGCGCCATCCAGCCGCCGAGCAACATTGCGTCGTCGTCGTCGTCGCCGTCGACCGAGTTTGACGTCATTGTCGTGGGCGCCGGCTACGCGGGCCTCACCGCCGCGCGCGATGCCAGCGTCGCAGGTACCTACATGCTGGGGGGGGGGAGTACTTTTGCTGGGTAAAAAACAAGGACTGACCTCGGGCCAAGGCTTAAAAGTGCTGCTGCTGGAAGCGCGCGACCGCATCGGCGGCCGCTCGTGGTCCTCCAACATTGACGGCTACCCGTACGAGATGGGCGGCACGTGGGTGTACTGGGGCCAGGCGACCGTCTGGCGCGAAATCGCAAGGTACGGCATGCAGGACGAGCTGGAGAGCTCGTACGACTTTTCGCGCGGCATCAACAAGTTTCTGCTCGCTAGCACGGGCGGCACGCAGTCCTTTACCCACGAGGAAGAGGTAAACTTGCCCTCCCCCCCCCAGCACACTTGCTGTAGACAACAGTGAAGCTCATTCGCAAAAAACCAAATCACAGGACGCCTTGATGCAGTCGGGCCTGGCCAAGCTGTTCAACGTCGACGGCAAGGACGGCCGCGACGCGCTGCCCATGCCGCACAGCGCGCACCTCTCGCCGTCGGACCGGCGCTTCGACGGCATGTCGGTCGCGGACCGGCTCGCCGAGATGGGCGGCCAGCTGACGCCGACCGAGCGGCTGTGCCTCGAGGGCTTCGTGCTGCTGTGCAGCGGCGCGACGCTCGCCACCACCAGCTTCTACGAGATGCTGCACTGGTGGGCGCTCAGCGGCTACACGTACGAGGGCTGCGTCAACCACCTCGTGCGCTTCAAGTTCCGCGCCGGCCAGTCCTCCTTTGCCGTGCGCTTTCTCGGCGAGGCCCTCGCGTCGGGCAACCTGTCGTATGCGTTCAGCGAGCCCGTCGCCGCGGTCCGCGATGGTGGCGCACAGGGGTCCGTCACGGTCACGACGAGGAGCGGCAGGACGTTTGCGGCCAAGCGCGTCATTTCCGCGCTGCCGCTCAACGTGCTGGATACGGTCGCGTTCGAGCCGCCGCTGCAGGAGGGCAAGGCGGCGGCGGCGAGGACGGGACATGTCAACCAGACCGTCAAGGTGCATGCTGAGATTCGCGAGCGTGAGTTGCGCTCGTTTACGGGCGTTAGTTACCCGCACAATGGCTTGATATACGGGTTTGGAGACGGCGAGACGCCGGCGGGCAACACGCACGTCGTCGCGTTTGGCGGCCAGCACAAGCACTTTCACCCGGAAGACGACATTGACCGAACCATTGCCGAGTTCCACGGCTTCACGCCCATGAACGTAGAACGCTTGGTGAGTGCCATCCGCAACTACAAGCTGTGCCGCCGTGGGGGGCGATTGATTGCTGACCGAAGAGGGCAGGTTTTCCATAATTGGTCACGCGACGAGTTTGCAAAAGGCGCATGGTACGTATTAAAAAGGGAGAAAATGTTTGATGGAGACACATTTCTGACGTAGCGAGTACATACAGGTTCTTCCCCGCGCCGGGTCTGCTGGCGTCGCACTTTGAGGACCTCCGAGCCCGCCAGGGCAACATCTTCTTTGCCAGCTCCGACTGGGCCTCTGGCTGGCGCAGCTTCATCGATGGCGCCATCGAAGAAGGAACGAGAGCGGCCGCGAGTGTACGGGCTGATTTGATAGGCCGGTCGAAAATTTAACTATCCGCATTCTGGGTAGTTGATTTGGGTGGTTTGTACTATCTGCATCGTTCATATACTAAAAAATCAAGCGCTATTCCCGACCCAAAGAAGATTGATAAAAGAAAAAAAAACATACGCCAGTCGCTAAAAGCAGTTCACATAATCAAAACCTGCCGCTCCCGCGTCACGACATCGGTCCAGCTGGTGGTGTCGCTCTTGCTCCAGATGTACTGCAGCGTGTCGAGCGCCACGGGGATGCTGCCGAAGCGCGTGTTGGAGAAGAGCTGCTTGAGCCGGCTCGCAAAGAACTCGCGGTGCTGCGGCCGCGTGCTCTCGGCGGCGGCAATGAAGAACGCCCACACGAGCGCGTGGCTGCCCTCGGTCTCGAGATCCATGTCGACGACCAAGTCGCGCATGCGCTCGAGCGAGTCCGTGGAGGATTCTGGCGTCGCCGTCCTTGCCGCCCTCCTTTCAAAGATGCGGCACGCCTCTGTTATGACCCTGGTCATTGTGTTGATAAAGACTTGCTGCTCTGGCGTGGACGGACAGTACGACATGAAGGAGAGGTAGTCGACAGACCGTCGGCGCAGCATCTCCACCCCCTTCTGCGGGCTGGAGAGCGGTGTGCCGAATAACTCAAACCTGAAAAAGAAAAAACGAATATGAGCGGCGATGCGCGCTAGGAACCGGACCACAACTTACATTTGTGTTTGTTGTCGGACAAAGTCCCGGACATTGTCCGGGAGTGACTTGTCCGACAAGGCTGCTCGGGACAGCTGTGATAGTAGATCGAGGAGATATACGTAGTTGCTCGAGCCGGTGATGGTATCGCCCACCAGGAGCACGAGGATGGTGACCCAGTTGGACAGCTTGAAGAACTGGTCCGGGTTCGGGTTGAGCGCAGCCTGCCGTAGCCTAGATAGCACCCGGTGCTGATTGACCTCTGCCTGCATCCGGAGCGAGGGCACTGCTTGCGAAAGGTGGAACGCGGAAACGACACTGACGGCCTGCGAAACCATCGGGTCCTGCGTCGCCAGAGGCAGGATCATCTGCCGATATGCGTTCCCGTGGAAGTCGAGCACGACCATTTTCGATGCGATGAAATTGGAGACTATTGCACATGCTGATTAGTACCGAAAGCAGATCCCTGACGCGCGACGCCACGTACAATGGTCAAAGAAGAACCTCGAGTCTGACGACATGGTCTGAATGGTGGTAACAGGCCCGTACGGCCACGGCTCGCGCTTGACATACGACGGCCGGCGCACCACCAACCTGTTCTCGGTCCTGGAAGTGCGAATCGAGGACACGGTGTGCTTGCCCTTGTCGTGCCGATCCGGCGCCTCATCTGTCTGCGAGCTTGTCGACGAAGCGGGCGACGTCGAGGACCGATATACCGGCGCGTCGGCGAGCGCGTCCGCAGCACCGGGGTCCTCTCCCATCTTGGGCACGACGAGCGCGGCGGCACCCGGTATGGGCTCCGGATCGACCCACAGATACTGCTTCTCGGATGTGGCGCGGGCGGGCGTGTCGCGGGCGCCGGGCCCAGCACCACCGGGCGCGGCGGCGGCGGCGGCCGTGCTGGCTTTCACGCGGGCGGCGCTGGACCGCTTGCGCATGTACGGGCTGAAGCGGCACTCGATGCCCTGGCCGGAGCACTTGATGCCCTTTTTCCGACACTTGAGGCACTCGGGCTCGGCCTTGTCGCAAATGACGCGGCGCGTCCGACACTCGAAGCAGCCTGAAGAGAAGGACACACGTCAGTTCGGTCATGTTGCATAATCGACGCGCACCCGGTGCGGCGGTCCCGGCGCCGCTCGGGCGTTTTGGCCGCTGCCGCGGGTGTGTGTGTGTATGTGCACTCACCGTTATTCCTCTTGGCAAGCGACATTGTACAGTGATTGGCAGGGGGGGTTGAATCGGGGTCGAATTGTTACATGCCACGGCCAGGGCGGGCGGCCGCAGAGGGCTTCGCAAGCTGGGGATTGGAGAATGGCTGGAGTGTAGAGTTTAACTTGGGCCTTTTTGCCGTTTGGCTGCGAGATCAGTGCTGCGGTTTCGAAGATGGAAAGGGATCAAAGGCTGTGAATGCAAGGCTCGCTGGTTGATGCGCACGAGTGCGGGGCAGCGGCCATTCTAGGCCAAGCCTGGATGGCAGATCGGTGCCAACCCTGGGAGAGCAAATAATGTGGCGGCCAATCTTAAGGTGGTAAGAAAATGAGGCGAAAGGGAATTTCAGTGAGTTGGAAATGAGAAGAGATGAAAGTACCAACACGCGACAAGTGCTGTCGTGGCGCTGTATCACTGGTTGTGTTGGTGTAATCGGAGTGACGGGTTAACTAGTGTAGGTACGCCGGGCAAGCGATGGCGAGGAAGTAGTAATATGAGCTTTCAATGCGCCGCTGAATTCTCAACAGTAGAATAATGAAACGTTGGAGGCAAGACCGACAATGATCAGGCTGAAGTGTGCGTGAGGCTGTTCAGACTAGTGACAGCCTTGTTCAGGAAGCCTTTGGTAGGCTCAAGAGTAGTTGGATGAACAACGAGGAACGGTGCTTGACATGATAGATCAACAGTTCTTGAATCGGATCAAACCGACGGAGCCACACATATATGTCTGAAAGCACTTGGATATGCGACAAAGCGAAAAGGGTGCCAACAAGTCCCTGCACATGGGAGCAGATATGAATGGGCGTGTTGATAGATTCGCATCTCGACAACCCGGGGATACATACTACTTGAGCGAGGCGACACCTTTGCGTCTCACAGATACGCCTTATCGCGTATCGTGATGTACATAACTCGTCCCAGGAAATCCGGGGTCCGGCAGCAGCGCATTGATAGGAGAATTTCTAGCAGCAGTGCTATCGAGATGCAATCTGAATCATTCCCACATGGGCGATAAGGTTACCGCAGGGTCGGTATTGCCATGGCCACTTTTTCAACGGTCCGGACGACTTGTATCAAGTACATGGCGCTCGTCTCCTGCATGTGCATTCTGTGCCTGCGGCGTGCCGACGAGGCCGGCCACGAGGACGTTTTCTAAGCTTGGACAGTGACAAGTATGGAGGGTGGATGCAAACTACGTTTATATCATCGGGGAAAGTCATGCACCGGAGGCGATTCTAGATGCTCGACGCATACTTGTCGTCGACAACTGGACGTTCTACACCCCAGCTCTGGCGATGAATGGTTCAAGTTTTGGCTGGGCCAGGAAATCGTCGTTTTGGCAACGACATCGGGCGAATGCGGAAGAGACAGACAGCGCCAATTCCTTTCAGCGGCGGGGTGGTTATGAGCTTTGTAATGGCGATTCACGCACTCGACAAGCCAAGGCCAAGAGATGCGGGGAAAGGTACAAGGACAAAGCAAGTTGAAGCCTTGGTCTGGGCCGACTCCAGGCCTCCAGACTGCTTTTGGCCACCCCGCCCGCCTCCCCGATGTCGGTAGGCGCTAGCCGCAGGTCCTTATCTATCGGATGGGTGGTGTGGACGATGCAGAAGTCGGCCGTACATACATAGGCTTCTGCAGCGAACCAGGCCCCTCGTTTTCATGCTGATCTGGGTGACATCCTAGTTGGGACCTCGGTACTAGTTGGACTAGACTGGACGGTGCCGGCCGCCCATCTGTGATGCGTCGCTGCAAGGCTGCCATGATCTGTGGTTGCCTAGAACAAGAGTCTGGCGGTACTTTGATCGACGAGGGGATTTGAGGAGCTGGGGATCCCTCTCGCATGGCCAAAGCGAGGACTTTGCTGCGTGAATGCGAATAACTAATCGACACCCTTCAAGGTTGGGCATTGCAAGCCCGGTGCAATTGTTTAGTTAGCGTCAAGATTTTAGCGATGGCCCGGCGCATTGGGGTTGGTCCAAGATAAGGACGTCGCTAGGGTGGCGGCCGCCCGTGATTGGCCAGCCCTGGGCTGCCTGGTGCGCCGATGTAGGATACTCTTATCAGTTGGCCACAAGCACCACCGCTCCTCCGACGTTTTTTTTCGTTTGTTTTCCAACAAAGGAGACAACGTAGCATAAAAAGCCGGAGCGCTTGAGGAAAAGTCGCGCAACTGGCGGGGTTCCCTTTTGTTGAAATGAGTTGTCCTCACTAAAAAAAAAAAAAATGCAGCTGTCGGGCCGTCTCCGCTCACGGTGGGCGGGTAAGAAACCTATTGTCCTGAAATGAATATTCCAAGCCACTATTCTGTTGAACCTGCCATATGAACAGTTGATAAAGTTGAACAACTTATTCGCTGGTTTCGCGGTTGTCCACCGCCCCCCAGGTTTCTGTCCAACACTGCAAGCAGCCGGCCGCTGTCACAAGCTTCAGCCTCTCTGTGCCCACCCAGACCACCACTGGACTGGGCCGAATTTGGGGGACCACCGACCAGGGTTGAAAATAGCAGGGTGCTGATTGGCAGGCGCCGTAGCCATGACGTACCGCCGCCCAGATTGAAGATGAGATTTTGCTGTGACCAAGCCCCGTCGGCCAGGGCCCTTGTGGGGTAAGGCAAGGGGCCATCTTCTGGTCTTCGGGACGCATGTCTGGATTCGGTGGCAGGGCATAGGCATGGGTGCTGGTCCGGCTCAGTAGACAAACTGGCTGTCGGGTTTCGGGAGAATGAGGCAAGAAAAAAAACATGTCATAATAATGCATGCATGCGTGCGTTTGCCGGTGAGCCCCGAGGCCAGGAGCTGGCAGGTGAGCAAGCTTACCTGGCGGACAAGGAAAATAAATGTTTTCTCAGTTTGATGCAGGCCGTGGAGGAGGCGGCGTCATATATTTATGAGAGGTGCACACTTCCTTGTCTTGTGCTGGCAACTGAGTAGGGTGCTATCTAACTAGCTATGGGATCCGGATTGAATGCACACACACCTCACGACTTGTCCAAGCAGCCATGACGGGCAAGGCTGCAGGCACAGGGTGCTAGGGTTGCTGCACTGACGTATGTATTCCCACAGCGAAAATATGTCGGAGGCCGCACTGCGATGGCTAGTACGGGAGGCTTTGATGACAGCATGAGATGTCGACCCCCCCTGGGCAACTACATATGCAGAGATGTGCAAAGCAGAGCAACTAGTGGCACTCGATGCCGCGAGGTTGGTGAGATTGGTGGTTCGTGACGTTGTATCATTGTCCGAGCATCTACGAATTACTGACTAACTACTAGTCAAAGACATGTTCCTGTCAGCGCGCCCGAGTGTATAATAGTCATGTTCCGAGAATGTAGGCAACAGGAGGAGGAGTTGCCAGAACGATCCTTTCCGCCGCTGCGCTCTGAGACTGTTTTCTTGGCGGATATTCACCAACCAGGCCGAAACGAAAAATTGGTCCGTACATCGGAGGGAAGCCGGTCCAATTCCGCAGGCAATGCGGCAACAGGTCGTGTGGAGGAGGGCGGTTTTTATTGCTTTTACCTTAGAGTCGCCTCACTTTGACCCTGGTCTTGGCTGACCTGGCCTGGTTCCTCGCAGAGGCCCCCAGTTGTCTGACTTGTGCTTCCCTGGCGAGAAAAGACAAAAGACGCCCACCAGAGCGGAGCAGCGCCTGGAGATGCGTCCGGCCCGGCTGCAAGATGGCGCTGGACTTGGGTGCAGAGAAGGCGGTTTGAGTGGTATTAGTTACCTTGGTTAGCGGTCTACGGTCTGCGAATTAGCAGAAAGCTGTGCTCTCCCCACCAATACGGCGTGTCGCAGATAAGCAACAAGCATCCTGACCACACCCGCCGCACGCCACACCCCTGCCGGCTATCCTTGGGCGAGGGGACCATAACTGGACGACTAGTATCCGTAGGGTCGTCTCATTGGTAGCGTGGTCCTAGTGAGCGAGTAAGAGCCCAGCCATTTGGCACCATGCTCTCGTTTTTGGTGGGGGTTCTTGCTGAATAGACGTGGCGTGAGCCGGTTCATGGTGTGCGCCGGCGCGAGGGTTTTAGCCTCGACAACAGCTGCCTGCCCGCGGTGGCGTCGCCTTGAAGCCACCTCTACCTAGTGAATAGTTCCCTGTCCAAATGTGTGCGGTGGTGTTTTGGGAATGCCGTAGAGACACCCGTTTGACCTGAGCGACTCCGGAGTTGCCCATTCATCCATCCATCCCCCATCCAGTTGCCCGTAGCCGTAGGGTGTCGTGTATTAAAACCGAACTGCCTGCCCGCCTCCCCCTCAATCTGGCTTTTACTCCTTCTTGTCATCTCTTGCTTTTTTTCCTCTACTCTCCCTTGCTGGAATTCCCAATTGATTACTCTGCAGCTGGTAGCTCAGATTGCGCAGCGTTTCTACGACCCCAAACTACAATGTGAGTATTACTTTGTTGCCGTGTTTTTTTTTTTTTCTAGTTTGCTTCTGCTTCATTTTTTTGTGTCCTTTTCATTACACGTTTGCTCTGGCTGGCGCAATTGGTCGCACAATATTTCTCGAGACCAATGGGCAATGACGTCGCGAATCATTGTCGCAGTCCCAAAGAAGAAGCCCAGCGACCGGGGTCTGTTCCTCGGCCTGGTACGACTGATCAGTCACAAAAGCGTACGACGAGGCGCACGACGACACACGCACACACAGCACGATACTCGAGCAAGCCACCACCACAAAAGTGTACCTACATCTGGGATGCGCCGGGGATTTTGAGAAAAAAAAAAAAAAAAAAGGACAACTTGTTGCAAGAAATGCGGCGACACTGTCCAGCCCGACCGCATTGGTTGGCGGAGAAGCCCGGAAGCAGCCGCATCGTGACTGGATGCCAGGCCAAGCCGAGAAAAGACTCAGAAAATTGCAAAAGCACCATGACGCGGAATGAAACAAAGAAAAGGACTCGTCCTAGACCTTGAATCATTTCTCCAAATGTGTGCTCGAAAATGAGAACTTCTCTGAGCGGCACCACCACAAGACTACAAAAATGAGCCTCAGTGGGAGAGCTGGTCGGTTTTCAGCATTTGGAAGGGGACAGCGGGGTTCAGTGCTCCCGCCCCATTGCCCGCGGAAAAGAAGGACAAGAGACCAACCAGAGACGTCATGAAATAAGCACGACCAAAGGAAAAGGGAGTTTCCGGTAAAATTCACTGGTCCCTTGGGGAAAAAAAAAAAAAAGAATTCGGGTCCCCCACTACAACCTCGGCCCTGATCCGCGACCGGCTGCTGCTAAACTGGCGGCGCCACTCGTGGTTTCAGTGGCGTTTAGTGGGCTGCGTGCTGTACTTTTGGTGGCATGCATGCTGGAGCCACAGCGACATTCAGCGCAGACAAACAAAGGCTTTGGCGGCTTTGGCTCTTTGCGGCCTCACTTGCACCAAGTTGCTTATTGGCTTTGGCGCAAACCTTGTCTCTCTCAGCCCATCCGTCGCTGCCCCGGAATGTTTCGTTCATTGTCGTCTTTTGCCTCTCTTTCTTGTTTATTTCATTTCATTCACATCACATCACATCTTGCATCTTGACACGGACTAATCCACAACGCAGACACGACGCAGCCCTCTCCGCTGCCAACTCACTCACAACGGCCTAAGCAAGCCTCGTACGCTCCCCGACTGGAGCGCTCTCATCCGACGCACGTCTCGTCCACCTGGAAAAGTTGGCCTAGCATGGGCCTGCTAGACGATTTCGACGACCGACAACTCCATATCGACGCCGAGCAGGAACAGTACCACCCCTTTGAGTACCAGACCGAGAACAATGACTCGTGGGCTGGTGCCTTGCCGGTGAAGCAGGGTCTCTATGACCCGTCCTTGGAAAAGGATGCCTGCGGTGTCGGTTTTGCCTGGTGAGTGTTGATTTCCACTGTGCCTCCAAAGTGATATCTCTCGATTCTAATTTCTGTTTAGCCACATCAAGGGCAAGGCGAGCCACAAGATTGTCAGCGATGGTAAGTCCTCACAGCTCACAGCTCACAACTCACCAACAGCCATGACCACCACTAACAACAACAGCACGCAACTTGCTCTGCAACATGACCCATCGCGGTGCCGTCGGTTCCGACGCCAGAGACGGCGACGGCGCCGGCGTCATGACGTCGATCCCCCACCGCTTCTTCATCAAAAACTTTGAAAAAGAGCAGAACATCCAGCTCCCGCCCCAGGGCCAGTACGCCGTCGGCAACCTCTTCTTCAAGCCCGACGAGGAGACGTTTGCCGAGTCCAAGCGGCAGCTGGAAGACGTCGCCGCGTCCCTGGGCCTGCGCGTGCTCGGCTGGCGCCGCCCGCCCGTCGACTCGACGCTGCTCGGCCCCGCGGCCAAGTCGCGCGAGCCCATCATCGCCCAGCCGTTTGTCGTGCTGACGTCGGCCTACGGCGAGGGCGACGCGCCTGTGAGCACGGACCCGGCAGCCGCGTTTGACGAGCGCCGCTTCGAGCGCCAGCTGTTTATCCTGCGCAAACGCGCCACCCACACCATTGGCCTGCACAACTGGTTCTACATCTCGTCCCTGTCCAACAAGAACATTGTGTACAAGGGCCAGCTCGCCCCCGTCCAGGTCTACTCGTACTACCACGACCTCGTCAACGCCGACTACGAGGCGCACTTTGCCCTCGTCCACTCCCGCTTCTCCACAAACACCTTTCCGTCCTGGGACCGCGCCCAGCCGCTGCGCTGGGCCGCCCACAATGGCGAGATCAACACCCTCCGCGGCAACAAGAACTGGATGCGCGCCCGCGAGGGCGTCATGCAGTCCGACGTCTTCCAGGAGGAGCTCGAGCAGCTCTACCCCGTCGTCGAGGACGGCGGCTCCGACTCGGCCGCCTTTGACAACGTGCTCGAGCTGCTCACCATCAACGGCGTGCTCTCCCTGCCCGAGGCCGTCATGCTCATGGTGCCCGAGGCCTGGCAGGGCAACGAGCACATGGACCCCAAGAAGGCCGCCTTTTACGAGTGGGCGGCCTGCCAGATGGAGCCCTGGGACGGCCCCGCGCTCTTCACCTTTGCCGACGGCCGGTACTGCGGCGCCAACCTCGACCGCAACGGCCTGCGCCCCTGCCGCTTCTACGTCATGGACGACGACCGCATCATCTGCGCCTCTGAGGTCGGCACAATTCCCGTCGAGCCCGAGAGCGTCATCCAAAAGGGCCGCCTGCAGCCCGGCCGCATGCTGCTCGTCGACACCCAGGCCGGCCGCATCATTGACGACAAGGAGCTCAAGGAGGCCGTCGCCAGCCGCCACGACTTCCGCGCCTGGCTCGACCGCGAGCTCATCACCCTGCCCAAGGTCCTCGAGGAGCTCGAGCCCAAGCTCGACCTCGCCGCCAGGCCCGATGCCACGCTACTCCAGGAGGACCCCATGCTGCTCTCCTACGGCTACACCCACGAGCAGGTCTCGCTGCTGCTCGCCCCCATGGCCGCCGACGAGAAGGAGGCCCTCGGCTCCATGGGCAACGACGCCCCGCTCGCGTGCCTGACCCAGTCGCCGCGCCTGCTCTACGACTACTTCCGCCAGCTCTTCGCCCAGGTCACGAACCCGCCCATTGACCCCATCCGCGAGTCCATTGTCATGTCGCTCGAATGCTACGTCGGCCCCCAGGGCAACCTGCTCGAGATGGACGCCTCCCAGTGCGGCCGCCTGCTGCTGCCGAGCCCCATCCTCTCCATCCCCGAGTTCAACGCGCTCAAGAACCTGTCCACGCTGCGCCCCGAGTGGACGGTGCGCACCATTGACCTGACCTTCCCCAAGTCGGCCGGCGTCGAGGGCTACCTCGCGCACCTCGACGAGATCTGCAACGAGGCGACGGCCGCCATCGAGGCGCACGACCGCATCATTGTGCTCTCGGACCGCAACACGTCCAAGGACCGCGTCGCCGTGTCGGCCCTGCTGGCGTCGGGCATGCTGCACCACCACCTCGTCAGCAACAAGTGGCGCTCCATGGCCGCGCTCGTCGTCGAGACGGCCGAGGCGCGCGAGGTGCACCACATGTGCGTGCTGCTCGGCTACGGCGCCGACGCCATCAACCCGTACCTCGCCATGGAGTGCATCCTCAAGCTCAACCGCGAGAAGCTCATCAAGAAGACGCTGTCCGACGACGCGCTCATCCACAACTACAAGCACTCGTGCGACGGCGGCATCCTCAAGGTCATGAGCAAGATGGGCATCTCCACGCTCGCGTCGTACAAGGGCGCGCAGATCTTCGAGACCCTCGGCCTCGACGAGACCATTGTCGAGCGCTGCTTCCGCGGCACCGCCTCGCGCATCCAGGGCCTTACCTTTGACTTGCTCGCCGAGGACGCGTTCCGCTTCCACGAGCGCGGCTTCCCCTCGCGCTACACGGTCGACATCAAGGCGCTGCCTGAGTCGGGCGAGTACCACTGGCGCGACGGCGGCGAGCCGCACGTCAACGACCCCACGTCTATTGCCAACATCCAGGACGCCGTCCGGTCCAAGAACGACAAGTCGTACGAGGCCTACTCGCGCTCCGAGTATGAGCAGATCAAGAACTGCACCCTCCGCGGCCTGCTGGATTTCAAGTTTGACGAGTGCACGCCTGTGCCGATTGACCAGGTCGAGCCATGGACCGATATTGTGCGCCGCTTCTGCACCGGTGCCATGTCCTACGGCTCCATCTCTATGGAGGCCCACTCGACCCTGGCCGTCGCCATGAACCGCCTCGGCGGCAAGTCCAACACGGGCGAGGGCGGAGAGGACCCGGAGCGCTCGGAGCGCCTGCCCAACGGCGACACGATGCGCTCCGCCATTAAGCAGGTCGCCTCGGGTCGTTTTGGTGTCACGTCTGCCTACCTGGCCGATTCCGACGAGCTGCAGATCAAGATGGCGCAGGGTGCCAAGCCTGGCGAGGGTGGCGAGCTGCCCGGCCACAAGGTGTCCAAGTCCATTGCCCGGACCCGGCACTCCACTCCCGGCGTGGGTCTCATCTCCCCGCCGCCGCACCACGACATTTACTCCATCGAGGATCTCAAGCAGCTCATTTACGATCTCAAGTGCTCCAGCCCTCGCTCTCGCGTTTCTGTCAAGCTTGTGTCGGAAGTCGGTGTTGGTATTGTTGCCTCTGGTGTCGCCAAGGCCAAGGCCGACCACATCCTCATCTCCGGCCACGACGGCGGCACCGGCGCCTCGCGCTGGACGGGTATCAAATATGCCGGTCTTCCCTGGGAACTCGGTCTTGCCGAGACTCACCAGACGCTTGTCCTCAACGATCTCCGCGGCCGTGTCGTGGTGCAGACTGACGGTCAGCTCCGCACTGGTCGTGACATCGCCATTGCCTGTCTGCTGGGAGCGGAAGAATGGGGCTTTGCTACAGCGCCCCTCATCGCCATGGGATGTGTCTTTATGAGGAAATGTCATTGTGCGTAAACCCCATGCCATGTATTACGTTCAAAGAACTTTTGCTAACTCTGCATTATAGTGAACACGTGCCCTGTCGGTATCGCCACCCAGGATCCCGAACTCCGCGCCAAATTCAAGGGCACCCCGGAGCACGTCATCAATTTCTTCTACTACCTCGCCAACGAGCTTCGTGCTATCATGGCTCAACTGGGCTTCCGAACCATTAATGAGATGGTTGGCCACGTCGAGGTGCTCAGGATGCGCGACGACCTGCGGACCAAGAAGACGGCCAACATTGACCTGTCTCTCCTGCTGACCCCGGCCCACCAGCTGCGTCCCGGCGTGGCTACCTTCAACGTCCGCAAGCAGGACCACAAGCTCTACGTCCGCCTGGACAACAAGCTCATCTCTGAGGCTGAGCTGACCCTGGACAAGGGCCTGCCATCGCGCATTGAGTGCGACATTGTCAACACGGACCGCGCCATGGGTACGTCACTCTCCTACCAGATCTCGAAGCGCTACGGCGAGGCTGGTCTGCCCATGGACACTGTCCACGTCAACATCAAGGGCTCCGCTGGCCAGTCCTTTGGCGCGTTCCTCGCTCCTGGTGTCACGCTGGAGCTCGAGGGTGACGCCAACGACTACGTCGGCAAGGGTCTCTCCGGCGGCCGTCTCATCATCTACCCGCCCCGCTCCGCCAAGTTCAAGGCCGAAGAGAACATCCTCATCGGCAACGTCTGCTTGTACGGTGCCACTGCCGGCACCTGCTTCTTCCGTGGTGTCGCCGCCGAGCGATTCGCTGTGCGCAACTCGGGTGCCACGGCCATCGTCGAAGGTGTCGGCGACCACTGCTGCGAGTACATGACGGGCGGTCGCGTCCTCATCCTCGGCAGCACCGGCCGCAACTTTGCGGCCGGCATGTCGGGCGGCATCGCGTACATCCTCGATGTCAAGGGCGACTTCATGAGCAAGCTCAACACGGAAATGGTCGAGGCCGGCCCGCTCGAGGACACGACCGAGATCGCCTACGTACGCGGCCTTATCGAGGACCACCACCACTACACGGGCTCCGAGCTCGCGGCCCGCATCCTCGTCGACTTCAACCGCGCCCTGCCGCGCTTCATCAAGGTCCTGCCTGTCGACTACAAGCGCGTCCTCGAGGAGGAGGCGGCCAAGGCCAAGGAGGCCAAGCGCGCCGAGTACAACCTCCCCGCTGTCGCCGGCGTCCCCTCGCACCCTAAGAAGGAGGGCGAGAAGGCGGCCGCACTGCTCGACCTGGAAGAGGCCATTGGCGACAACGCCGTCGAGAAGAAGCGCGCGCTGGTGCTGGACAAGACGCGCGGCTTCATGAAGTACGCGCGCCGCACGGAAAAGTACCGTGCAGCCTCGGCGCGCACCAAGGACTGGGCCGAGATCAGCGCGCGCCTCAACGAGGACGAGCTCAAGTACCAGTCGGCGCGCTGCATGGACTGCGGCGTTCCGTTTTGCCAGTCGGAGACGGGCTGTCCCATTTCCAACATTATCCCCAAGTGGAACGAGCTCGTCTTCCAGAACCAGTGGAAGGACGCCCTCAACCGTCTGCTCATGACCAACAACTTCCCCGAGTTCACTGGCCGTGTCTGCCCGGCACCCTGCGAAGGTGCCTGCGTCCTGGGCATCAACGAGGACCCCGTCGGCATCAAGTCGATCGAGTGCGCCATCATCGATCGCGGGTTCGAAAAGGGCTGGATGGTGCCGCGCATTCCCGAGGTGCGCACCGGCAAGAAGGTGGCCATCATCGGTTCCGGCCCTGCCGGTCTCGCCGCCGCCGACCAGCTTAACCGCGCGGGCCACCTGGTGACCGTGTACGAGCGCGCCGACCGCCTCGGCGGCCTCCTCATGTACGGCATCCCCAACATGAAGCTGGACAAGCGCATCGTCAAGCGGCGCACCGACTTCATGGCCGCCGAGGGCATAATCTTCAAGACAGGTGTCGCGATTGGCGAAGACGGCCAACCCAGCCTCGCCTCGCTGCGCGCCGAAAACGACGCCGTCGTCATCGCCACGGGCGCGACCGTCGCGCGCGACCTGCCCATCAAGGGCCGCGAGCTCGAGGGTATCCACTTCGCCATGGAGTTTCTGCACAAAAACACCAAGTCGCTGCTCGACTCGGAGCTGGCGGACAACTCGTACATTTCTGCCAAGGACAAGCACGTGGTGGTGATTGGCGGGGGCGACACGGGCAACGACTGCATCGGCACGTCGGTGCGGCACGGGGCCAAGTCGGTGACCAACTTTGAGCTGCTCCCGCAGCCGCCCGACGAGCGGGCGCACGACAACCCGTGGCCGCAGTGGCCGCGCATCTACCGCGTCGACTACGGACACACCGAGGTGCGGCAGCACACGGGCAAGGACCCGCGCGAGTACTGCATCATGTCGGAGGAGTTTGCGGGCGACGGCAGCGGGCGGGTGACGGGCATCAACACGATCCGCGTCGAGTGGACCAAGTCGCCGAGCGGCGGGTGGGACATGAAGAAGGTCGAGGGCTCGCAGCAGCTGTTCCCCGCGGACCTGGTGCTGCTCGCCATGGGCTTCCTCGGGCCCGAGGCGCGCGTGCTCGGCGACGAGGTCGAAAAGGACGCCCGCAAGAACGTCAAGACGGCGCCGGGCAAGTACGCCACCAACCTCGACGGCGTCTTCGCCGCCGGCGACGCCCGTCGCGGACAGTCCCTCATCGTCTGGGGCATCAACGAGGGCCGCATGGCCGCCCGCGAGGTCGACCTCTTCCTCGAGCACAACACAAACCTGCCCGTCACCGGCGGCCTGGTCAAGCGCAAGGCGACGGAGATTCTGGGCCGTGTGGCCGCTGCGACCAAGGAAGTGGCTGCGTAGGTCGACAAAATGTGTTTTTGGATGTGGAAAATGAAGCGAAGAAAAACAACAGACGCGGGATGATACCCACGCAAAAAAGTTAAAAAAAAAAACGAAAACAAAGTCTTTTGCATATATTTGAAGATTGCATTTGGATATACCAGCTTTTATGTAGCATGATCTAGTTATGAATTTCAACATTTCAACTTGACGCAGGTGACGATTGTTTATTGTGAGGACGCTGGCTTACCCCCCCAACAATAGGGTCCAAGAAACTCCACTTGCACCATCGTCGTTATCCTTTCCAGCTCGTCTTGGTAGCAGGCTGAGTGAGTCCTGCCAATTCCTAACTGCACAATCGATGAGGGCTTGTCCTGGCTAGCGTTCTTGTACGGTACATGAGACCCGAGAGCCCACAGAACCTCCACAATATATCATCATCATCCCACACAGCACAATGGCATAAGAGTCTACCCCGAGACTAAAGCGGCCCCTCCCGCGGGTAGCGTCCCACCGTTTGCATCCTCTGGGGAGGGGCAGCACAGCAGCGTGAATCGGAATGGGATCGCTGGAACAGGAGGGCCGCAATGCAAAATGTTTCATCATTCGTCGTATAGAAAACCGCTCGTTGTCAAAGCCCAGAGAGGGGTCAACCACTGACGCTTATGCCAATGCCGCCTGTGGCATCTCAAGAGCCGGTCGGCGACAACGTGTCAAACAGACAGACGAGGTTGTCGAAGCGGTAGTCTTCGCCGGGGACCATCAGGTTCTGGTATGCGGACTCGAACCCCGCGACGTCGTTTGCAAAGAGCTCCGCCGAGCCTCTGCGGGCAAACTCCTCGCAAGACCTCAGCCACCCGTCCACCAATGCGAGGAAGAGGCTCAAAATCGCAACGTCGCAGCGCCTGCGGACAGCGTCGCGCACATGTCGGATGAGCTGGCTGTCGATGAGGGCCTGTACGGCATCGGAAGGAACGACAGCGGCGGCCACGGCGTGGAGCTTACCTGCGCCTCGGCGGCTTGGGGGTATTTCATGGCGATGGTGCTCTCCAGCGCCCGATAATAGGGAGTTTGCCCGTGGAGCCTGAGGAGCGGTTGCCTGATTGCAAAGATAATTCGTTCTCCTGAAATAGGCAGAACAGGCGGCGAGGAAGGCTCTGGGTGCAAGGACGTCATGACGGGTTGTCGGTCGTGAAGAAGGTGGAAAAGGGATGGAAAATTCTTGCCCAATTCTTGCAAATTCTTGTCGTTACATGAATTGCAAAAACTTGAGCGATTGTGGCACAGCGCGCCACAGCGTTGGTTGTGATGCGTCCACGCCTACAGGACACCGCCCGCCTCTTTAAATCTACCTGTGGTCAGGCCATCACAGCTATTACATGACAAGTTATTAATACTATTAAAGGAGAGCATATAAGATAAAAGGAACATAGTTAATTCATTTCACTTTATCTGTTAGTATATACTATAGTTAGTAGCAGCCAACCCATGAGCCCCACGATAGTCTAGACCGGACAAAGGACGAAGCCCGACTGTTACCTGATGTACCATACTTTGAAGCCAGTTCGCACTGCTGCTGTGCGAATGACTTGGTGATAGCCCTGATATTTGCATTTTCTGGGGCGATCCGTGACCCAGTGTATCTAAAGCGAATTAGTCCGGTTTTACTGTCAAATAGGTGATAGGGGTACGGACCAAGGGGTCTTCAACTGAGCCGGTGCCATCAGGTTCCCCACGAGATCTCCATTCAGCTCTCGTGGTCTTCGCTTTGGGTTGCGTGGATGGTGGCATTTTCTCGATATTGTAAAGACAATCAAAGATGTTTGACTGAAAAGAAAGAAGACTTGGAAAAATTTTACGCTCTATTCGAAGGGGGTGGGTGGTGTCCTTTATATAGCCTTCATTCGTACCACCGAGATGCTACCGCTGACTGGAGGCAACGCTGAGTAACCATCTCAACAAAAATCATCGGGCTGCAAATATTCCCGCCCGCGTAACTCAGTATATGCATATGACCATTTGTGCAACCATCTCGCCATCACTGTTGAACTGCTGGGTTGTGGTGGGATACAACAGCCACCAGAGTGACAGACTTTAATCCGAGCACAGTCTAGGAATGAATCTTCCATACAAAATACCCTGGCTGTGTAATGTACTCATCTTCTTTGTTGTCCAACTAATTTACCCAACCTTCCGTCGGCAACTTCGGTCACACATGACAGTGTGGCACGTCGCGGCGCATCATTGCGTCTCGTCCAAGCCCACCCCCTCTGGTTGAATCTACTCCTGGTCAGGCGTGCCTCTTTTTCAGTGCCGAAGCGCCTACACCCAGGCATCTTGCAAGGTACATAGCAAATCAGAGCCATTATGAAACAAGATACTTATTAAAAGCAGAGCTTACTATCTAACACGAAGTACCTAGAACACCCACAAATACAGTACTGCAAGATCTCAGGGATTACCTGCAGTAGATATCTGTAATGCAGTACTGTTAGATATTGGATTGAGTGACCGTGGTGTAGGCGCTGCTTGCAGAAAGAGACTTCTCAAATACATTTCTTAGAAAAACACAATACCGAACTAGTCTATCCTAACTTGCTTGACCATACAAGTCTGCAGTTACTTAGAGCGTTCTCCGACTTTCTTCTTTCCGCGTCTTGACCCTCTTTTCTTCTTTTTAGCAACAGCTCCTTCGGCTATTTCTTCCACATACTGAAGCTCATCTTCTCCTTCTGCTGTTTCTTCCACATACTGAAGCTCATCTCCTCCTTCTGCTGTTTCTTCCACATACTGAAGCTCATCTTCCTCCTCTTGTATATCCTCGTAGTTTTGAAAAAGCTCATACCCGTCGTCCGGCGGATACTTGTATTCTTTGTAATCGCGTTTGCCTATGAGCCAGATTGGAAATGGATCCCCGTCCTGTACTGACTGAAACTCAGTAGGATGCAGGAATCGCTCAGGGTCGTTTATCTTGTCAGGTCTGACGTAGAGGTGCCCTGAATAGTCACAAGGTTGGTCCTGCGGTTCCCCGACATGAGAATCTGCAAACACAGTGAAATGCGGGTCGTCAGGCATCGTTTCGCCGGAGTCCCTGGTCGTCCAGTGAATCAGGCTTCTAATCGAAGTATAAGTAGGCTGCCATATCATTGGTAAGGATGGGTAAAATACCTTATGTACCAGACCTTGCACCCAGTCACCCTCGCTGCTGTGCGAACGGCTCGCTGGTAGCTCTCATATCTACCTTCGGAAGGGCGTTGCACGAGCCAGTGAATCTGAAAGCATATTAGCCTGGTACTCTTGTGATACTTAAGTACTTGGAGTACTGACAAAGGGGTCCTCCGCTAAGCCAGTACCCTCAACAGGGCCGATATCTTCGAAATCACCCCTGAATCTCTTTTTGCTCCGTCTCCTATCGTTAGGCATTTTTCTGGTAAGGATAACAAGAGTAAAGTAGCTATGATAAGAGAGAAAATAGCAAAGGACTTGCTGTCCTATTTATCTTGTTTTATTTACCATCAAGGTGCTGAGAAGTGTGTCTGCCTGCGTTGTCTGCCTACGTTGTTTGCCTACGTGTTCTGCCTACGTGGTCTGCCTGTGCTGTCTGTCTGCGTTGTCTGTCTGGCTGGGCTGCCTGGTTGGTCTGTCAGCGTTGCCTACCTGTATTGTCTGTATGCGTTGTCTGTCTGCGTTGTCTGTCTGGCTGGGCTGCCTGGTCTGGTCTGCCAGCGTTGTCTACCTGCGTTATCTGCCTACGTTATCTGCCTGCTGCCTGCCTGCTGCCTGCCTGTATATACCTTGTCTTGATTAGTCGCTTCTTCTTTGACTAGCCTTTAATAAATAAATAAATGAATTAATTAATTAATATAAAATATTCTAAATTCGCATTTAAGTAATAAATATTTATAATAAGCTTATAATGGCTTGAATTCTACTACTAAATAGGGCTAAATAGCTTTAAAAAAATGATAATATTGCTATTTGGCACCCTATTTCCCTGCAGCCTAACATGGCAATTCTATTGTCGTCATCTTGAAACTCGTTGTTGAGTTATTGGCGGCTCTGTTGCCTGAGATTACTAAGCGTTGTGGCACGTTCGTATTGGCAAGCTTTCCCAAACTCGCCGCCTCACAACAGAGACTCGATTCACTTCCAATCTACACAACAGGCACTGTTCAAAATGCCATCGAAACTACACCAGGACTCTCCAAAATGGAGAAGCGTTATTCTCTGTGGAGATGAAGACTACCTCGAAAGCGTCCGTTCGTACAGATCTGGTGGCCATCACCCAGTGCACATCAACGATCGCCTGGACGGCGCAAGATATCGTGTGCTTCACAAATTCGGCTACGGTGGGTCTTCTACAGTGTGGTTATGTCAAGATAACATATATCGGACCCCGACGTATGTGGCGATCAAGATCCTCATCGCGCTTCGAAACGAGGCAAACTGCCGCGAGCTGCACATGGCTCAGCACCTGCGGGCGCTCGGTGTCGACAAGCAACCAGGAGCACATCTTCTTTGCTTTCCGCTTCGAGATTTCCGACAGACGGGTCCAAATGGAACACACATTTGCATTGTGTATCCTGTTTTGGGACCGCCTCTCGATTTAGCCAGGGAGACTTTTGAGGACCATTTCAATCAAGACGACTGCGCCAGGATCGTTCGAGGACTGGTCCGTCAGGTGGCATTCGGAATAGCCCTCCTGCACGCGAATAGTATCTGTCATGGAGGTTCGTGATACCCAAATATAACGTTTGCACCTTGCACATCATGTATTGACAAGTATCTGAATGCCAGACCTTCGCCCACCAAACGTCCTCCTCAGACTAAATTCCCTTGATGGACTCACCACGACACAGGTGTATGAAATCGTTGGGAAACCAGAGACTGTGAAAGTGGTAGTCAAGGACCTCTCGGGTGAGCATGTGTTATGTCCCGACATCCCTCAATATTTGGTCCACTCAATCGACTTTATCGAGCCCCATCATCTCTCAGGTCAGATTAGCATCACGGACTTTGGAGAATCATTCAATCATTGCACCGAAGGGGAGCGCCTGACTGGGATACCACGGGCGTATTGTGCCCCGGAGCTCGTCTTCGACAAGAAAGGTGGCCTGGCTGCCGATCTGTGGGCCTTGGGTTGTTTAGCCTTTGAAGCGCGCACCGGCAAGAAGATGATCTGGCCAGCTGATCTCCTCGGCCCAAACGACCGAGAATACCTCATGCACGTCATCTTACTTCTCGGAAGGTTACCGGACAAGTGGTGGGACACCGTGGAAAACCGTGACGCAATCATCGTGCGCAGCGATGGAGGCACGCACAGTCGACTCGAGCTACGAATGGAGAAGTGGGGCAATCCCGAGGAAGAAAGATCGATTGATGCCAAAATCAGGGCCAGTTGTTATCGCAATACGCAACTCGACAGAAATATCAAGATTTTGGACATCTCCGAGGCGGAAGTTGAAGTAATGTCGAAGCTCCTGGAACAACTGCTGCAGTACGAGCCAGAAAAACGCTTGGCCGCTCAGGACGCAGTCAATCACGAATGGTTTCGGATGTGATCTTTGAGGGGGCTTTGACGAATTATATCAGCGTCCCCGCGCCCAGATGGCATCGTTAGGGGTCGCTGGTGAGAAGCTTGCAATGACTGATGGATATGAACCTTGTCAAACACTCGTGTACATGGCCTGAATAACATTTTTCTCTCTCCCAAAGACAGTTGCATTCTCGAGATCATCAACCCAGTAAGCCTTCGCCCACAAGAACCAATCGAATGCTGCCATTGAGGGGCGCAGCACGGAAAGGCTGTGTGGCTGCTGCATGGCTGCCTAAGTTGGTGTAACAAACAAATATCCAACACCAACTTTCATCATGAACCCCGCTCCCCATGCCCCTGTCTCATTACATTCACCTCATTCACCCTCTACACAACCTTTTCCCGCCCCAAAAAAATGACCATGGAGAACAACCCGGACAGCACTCGCGTCCCCTACCGCGAGCAACGCGTGACCTACAGCAACAGCTCTGACGAGGTCCCCTTCATGAGCCTCTCGCTGCGCCTCCACGGCCACACGTTTAGACTCTGCTTCAGCGCGGCGCGCTTCCACCAGTCCCCCGCCCGCCTCGCCGAGTTCCACGCCTTCCACGCCAGCCGCAGCAGCGGCAGCAGCAGCAGGCCCTGGAACGAAATGTTCGACTGGGCCCTGGCACCGCTGCTGCCGCGGCTCGACGAGCTGGCGCCGCCGCCGGCGGCCGCCGTCGCCGCGCGCCCCACGCTGCAAGACTACGTCGCCGGGCCCGACTACCGCTGCCAGCTGGGCGCCGTCGACGACGTGCTCGTGGTGGAGAGCGTCGAGGCGCTGGACCACGTGCAAAAGTTCTGGCACCATGCCGCCCCCAGCGAGCGTCAGCGGTCGCTGCTCCGCAAGGACCTCATCCGCACCGTGGCCCCTGCCGACGTGGCCATCCTCCCCGCCGGCGCGCCCGCCGCGCTCGACACGCCCTGCAGCCTCGTCTCCGTGGGCGGGCAGGAGTTTTGCTTCGACAGCCTGGACGAGGTGTGCGTCCCGCAGCTGATGGCGGCGTACGAAAAGATTGCCGTCGCCGGCTTGCCGCCGCATGTCCACGTGCGAAGACTCGAGGCCGTCGTGTTTGACGAGCACGGCAACGTGCCGCTGGGGTCTCTCTATTCCAACAGGTTCAAGGAGCTGCCGCTTGCTTACGAAAAGCACTGCCGGGACAGTGTGTCGCTCTCCACCAAGCGACGCTGGATCAGCCAGCTCCGCGAGGCCGTGGCGGCGCTGCACGCCATCGGCATCGTATGGGGCGCCGTGTCGGCGTTCAACGTTTATATTGACAAGGAAGATGACCTCTGGATTGGTGGTTTTGGTGGCGGGTGGTCTGATGACTGGGTCGACGAGGACAAGGTCGACGAGCCAGAAGGCGATCTACAAGCCCTCGAGGCGCTTGTCAACTGGATCATGGAGCCAAACGACGGCGGTGTTCCAAGCAAATTGTAGTCGATCAAATAGGCTCAAGTGAATCAATTTCTTTTTTAATCTCGCTGACTTTTCTGCAATGTGTCCAAGACTGGTTGCCCACCTGTCTGGGTAGCTGTAAGTTCGGCAACATGCAAAATAATATATCACAAGTGCTCTTTAAATGAAACAGCCCCGATGTAAACACAACACGAAAAGCGCATACACGCATAAACAAGAAACTCCTATAATTCCTTACGTCTGCTTTTCCTCCTCTTTCGGCTTGTTTGCAGGAAAAATTGTACAGTATTATAACAGGATACGCATCATTCAACGGAGCTCACCGTCAAGAGCGAAATAGTTGGGCGCGCTGGTATCCGGGTGATTATGGCGCATCTTTTCAAAGGCCTTGCGATACTGTCATATCCAAAAATTAGTCTTGGGTTAGGTGTTTTGATGTGTAAACGCACCTGAATGATAAAATTGGCAATCAGAGCCACGATCAGCGCTATGCTGATAATAATCGGTCCTATCATGTTGTCAAAGTCCTTGCCGCTGCGCTCGATAATCATGCTTCGGCGCACACGCAGCATAAAGTACCCCCACCCTCCAGCGAAAATGGCGATGCCCGTATACACGACACCAAAGATGGCGGCAGTCGTGTTTTCACCCGCCGCCGAGTAGAGTGCGAGGGCCAAGGCACCCTGCAGAATGCAAATGTGCTGCCACTTAAGAAATGTACGCTCATTGGCTAGCCATACTTTGGGTTCAACCTTGAGCTCGCCAGCATTCTTGATCCACTCGGTAGGCTCGACAACGCCCTCGGGGAGCTGGAAGCGCTGGGCACGTTTGGCCTTGGCGTACTTGGAGAGCGAGAGAGCAGGGAGAACGGAGGAAAGGGTACCGTAGCCGCCGTTACTCCGGCCGTTCTGGTGGGCAGAGGAGCCACTGCCCTCACCTTCTTCTTCGTGTTGGGCGGCATTGCTTCGGTGGTTGAGTGACTTGGCATGCTGGTCGCGCGACTCAGCGGCCATGCGGTCGGCGAGGTAGGACTTTCCAACAGAGGAGCTCTTGGCAGCCTTGTAGGAGGAAGAGGGGAGGGTGCCAATCAAGCTCCCAACAGCCAAAGCGTCGTCGGCACGCTGGGCACGGCGCTGCTCTTCAGCTTCGAAAGCGAGCAGGGGGTCCTTCCGAATGTCGGTCTCCAGGTCACTAAGCCAGAAAGGAAGGGCGTTGACGTGATCTTCAAAGAGAGAGGCCACTCCGTGAACAAATTTGGAGAAGCGTGGTACGGCGTGAATGAGGTGCGAGGCCAGCAGATCCTCGACCCAGGCAGGGCGCTTGCGGTTGGCGTCCTCGCGCAACTTAATCTCGAGGACGGCGTATGGGAATTTGGAAACCTCGCTCTGGTTGATATTACGGAAGGGGTAAGTCATGTTGCTGTCGTCAATGTCTGTGCGATGCCAGTCATCGGGGTTGCGGCAGGGGCGGTCAGCATCAAGGGTGTCTTCACGGATGAAGGCGAGGTCGGTGTCAATGGAGATTCGGATGCGGGAATCAGCGGGCTTCTGAAATGCGGTACGAAGGTAGTTGGCGCGCATCACTGGCGCGAGTTTCCGCTCCTGCTGGAAGTTCTGGATATTGTCGACAGTCTTCTTATACTCGGCAACAGTCTCGGCGGATTGGCCCTGGCGCTCCATCTTGGCGACAGTCTTGTCCATAGAGTACTCGTTTTCAAGGAAAGGGGTGACGTATTTGTCCTTGATGGTGAACTTGGACTCGTGGCTTTCACCAGTGCCGTCGGCGACCTTTTGCTCGACGAAAATGTCAGGCTTGCTGCTGAGTTGGCCGTACCAGCGCAGACGGAGCGACTCAGCCCCTTTGCTGCTGTCGACCTTTTTCTTGTAGAGCTCGAAGGTTTTGTTGTCAAAGTAAAGCGAGGTAACGGTGGGAGATTCGCTACCGTCAAACTCCTTGGACGTTTGCTGGCTGTAGATGAGAGCTGGGAGGTGGCGAAGAATGAGAGTGCGAACCTCGAGGAGGTTGTCGGGATGCACCCAGACTGCAGAGTATTAGCACGGACATGAAAGGACGTATGATTCGTGGCGGGGCTTTGACTTGCATTTGTGAGCGGTATAGCGCTCACCGTTGAGAGTCTCGCCCTGAGTCTCAAGATCGATGGGCAACGTGGGGTCATCGTCGAGCTGTTGACGGATGGCATAGTACATGATGGAGAGCTTGTTGAGGAGGGCCGAGTAGCCCTGTTCTGAGTTGAAAGGACGCTGGGCGATACTGTGCTGCATCATAGGGCGGACCTTGTAGCGGTTGCCGCGCTTCCGATCGTGCTTCTTGACAATTTTGAGGAAGCCAGTGTAGTTGATGGAGCTGTACTTTTTGAGCTCCTTGACCTCGTTCATGATGCTGTCGAGCTCGACCTCGAGCTCCTGGAAGCTAGTCTTGGTGGCATCGTCGACGGCCGGGGGCGCGGAGCCATCTGCAGGAGCTGGCGGTGCGAGATCCTTGAGCTTCGCAAAGACAGCATCGGCCCGGTCCTTGAGGAGGGACACCTGCTCCTCCTGGAACTTGGCAACCTTTTCCAGCTGGACGTTGAAGATTTCCTCGCAGAAGCGGTTCTCATCATCCTCGGTCCAGACCTCGTTGTCGTCGTCAAACTTGTCTTCGCGGAGGAGAGTCTTGAGCTTGTTATAGTCAATGTACTTGTCCTTCCACGGCCCATTGATGGACTCGCGGAGAGTCTTGCCGAAGCGCATGGCGGAGGGTGTACTGGTGAGGGCTGTGAATTGATGGTATGGCGTAGCTTATCAATTGGTTCGGTTCGGCGAGCGGGGAGAGTGGTTGTCGTGGACGTGGGAAGACCGCGTTTGAGGCAAAAGAGTCCCTCGTGCTGTTTGGCTGGGACTGAAACCGGAATCGAGCGAGGGTAGAATTGCGAGGTACAAGAGAGAGCAGGCAACACAGAACGAGGAAGAAAAATTGACAAGCCAGACCAGGACCCGTAGATTGAAGAGGCGATGGTGGAAAAAAGCGTAGGTTGGAAAACCCCACCAAGGTATGCAGGCCGTGACGATATTCAAGAAGCTGGTGGTGTTGGTCAAAAGTCAAGAGAGAGGGATCCCAGCGTGGTGGGGTTCCGAGCAGCGTACTGTGTTGGGCACAAGAGTTTGGCAAGATAATGATGTATTCTCCAGCTCCTTGGTGGGTGGCTTATAGCCCTAAGTAGTGCTATGCACGTAATAATATGCCTTATCGCCTATAGCAGCGACCTCGCTATCAAATAAACCTAAATAAACTTACCCTATATATAGATAAAAACTAATTACGCCCTACTATATGTAAAGATAATTCCTTTAAAGCTAAGCTAAATTATAGGCGCTTATATATATATATAGAAAATAAAAATAAATTAATAAATACTTAATCCTTCTCTATATCTATATTATCTATATTATTCTTTTATACTAACTATATAGCCTCCTATACTAGTACTAGTACCTCTATATTTAACTTATCTATATTACTCTTATATACTAGTACTAGTACTTCTATACTTAGACCTTTATTTAGTCTAAATATATACTACCTTTAGTCTAGAAGTAGCCTATTATCCTAGACTAGCTTAACTAGCTTAACTAGCTTAACTAGCTTTAGTAACTTCTATCTAGTTTTTAGCTTTACTATCTTAGTTATTACTTTAGTAGCTATTACTATCTTAACTATAGGTAGTCCTATACTTACTATATCTACTTTCTTTATTATTATATATTATATAAAGTTATAGTTAAATTCTAGTTTAAGTATTAGTTACTATATAAATATATACTCTACTTACTAGTATATATAGCTCTTTAGGCCCTTTATTATAGGGATATTTAGGGTATAGTTTACTATACTAGGGTAGTAGAATATACTAAGGGCTATATAGGTTTATTCTATAGGTTATATATTAATACTATTAACTACTTTTTCTTATATTATTTTATATATAACCTTTAGTATAGTAATAGTAGTTAAATAGTTTATATACTATATATTAAGAAGCTTATATCTAAGTATAGAAATAGCTTTAAGTAGGTACTTACTAGCCTCTTATACCTCTATTAATATATTAATATATTACTATATAGATATAACCTCTTATTATATAGTAGCTATACTTATCTTTATTATTTAGTATATAAAATTAATACTATATAGGACTATATTAAGCTTATTTATAAAGGTATAAGCTATAACTCTATTAACCTAGTTATTTATAGCTTTTACTATTTCCTAACTTAGCTAAGGTCTCTAGAGCTAGTCCTATACTATATTTACTAAGCTTCCTATAATAACTATTAGGTCCCCTATATAGCCTTCTAGTAGTCTAGTATTACCTTCTAGATATACTACCTTTATAAAGATAGGTAGTAGTACTACTAACTACCTAGCGTCCTAGTATAGCTTTACTTAGGTAATACTTATTCTAGTAACTAAGTCCCTTAGGTAGGTAAGTTCCTAGTATATTATATTATTATCTTTCTTTAAGGTATTTATAATTCCCTATATTTTAGCTATATATACTTATAATATATTAGCTATATTAGTCCTATTTACTATATATAAGTTACTTTAAACTATATTATATATATCCTTTTATAAGCTATATAAGTATTTATATTCTACCTTAACTAGTATAATATTATACCTAGCTACTCTTTATAGTACTACTAGCTTAATATTAATATAGCTATCTACTTATATAATAGGGGGTAGTAGCCTAGCTACTAGCTAAAGAGGTATTTACTATAGCTATATATAAGTAAGGTAGTTAATATTACTTAGGTTTTCCTTTTTACTATTATATATAATTACTAGCTTAACTTACTTAATATCTTTAATAATCTTTAGCCTTTACTACTCTATATTAATTAACTCTACCTTCTATACTTTATTATCCTATTATCTTCTTTTCTTACTATAAAGTACTATAAGTTTTACTATTAATTTAGCTATATAATCCTTTACCTATTCTTTTATTTTTAATACTATATTAAACTTAGCTATATAGGGCTTAACTCTTATAAGTACTCTCTTAAGATTCTTATTCTCTAGATACTATTTTATAGTATAAGCCTTATCTATACTATAGACTACTATAGTAACTACTATTTATATAAGTGTCTTTAGCTTTAATATATTATATTTAGTTATTAGTAAATTACTAGTATTCTTATAGCTAAGGGTATATAACTACTATATATTTAATATATACTACTTAAGGTATATTACTATAGGTAGGATATTCTAATTTAAATATAATACCTACTATATAATAAGAGCTCCTAGTAATAGCTAGAATTTAGTATTTAGTAGGTTAGGTAGTTTTATTAGCTTACTTACTATATTATATAAGGCTTTTAAATTAACTTTATTATACTATATAGGTATAAGATCTATAATATCCTTTAGTATTTATATATAGTAGAGCTTTATAAGCTTAAGGTCTACTAGTAAAGGCTTACTTAGTATAGCTAGTATAGTTAATAAATAAGAGCCTTCTTTTTTTATTAGGTTATTAAGTAAATCCTAATACTTTATCTTCTTATATTTATAAGCCTTATATAATATTACTTTTACTAATAAGCTTATTATATTATATTTTACTAATAAGCTTACCTTATTATATATATAGATAAGAAATAAAAATCAAAATATAGAAAGAAATAGCTATTTATTAAGAAAAGTAATAATATTAATACTAAAAAA